ATTTTTTAGTTTTGTTTAGAAACATAAGGTTCACGGAAAGAACGACTTTGCTGAAATATAGAAAAATTTAGCTAAATGTAAACTTGACAATAATTTTGTTAGTCCATCAAAATATTTGTGTAGAAAATTCAAGCATGACGAGCAATCAAAAATTTTGATATTTTAGCAATCAACTTGAGCATCCTACATAATTATTTTTATAGTGTAACAGAATTTATTTTCAGATCTACATCTAGTTAAATTGTTAGATACTTCAGCAAAACCATTCTTTCCGTGTTCTAAACGACTTTCATAAGGTTATAATTTTACAGTAGTATTATTAAATAATCTAACATTTTTTCTCTCGCTAATCAAGATTGGAAAGAATAATAAAATTTTATTTTTTATATCTAATATATAAGATAAATTTTATTCTTTAATGATTTTGGAGAGATTCAAATTTTGAAAAGATATTCAAAATCGAGAATTAGCAATTTTATATAAAGATGAAAGGGTAGAGTTGAACAAAATTCGCAAACGTTACACCACGCCACTGCAGACCTACCGTAAAGCAAAGAGTTTGACAAGAACGTCGGTTGGCAAAACACGGTAAAGCACCGATATCAAAGACCAGAAGTTGTTCTGAACTCTTGCGTCCGGTATAGTCCGTTTCGTGGATCTCAAAGACCCACGCGACGGAATATCGTCGGCGACTCGCTCATAAAGTGACGACGACGACGACGCGAATCGTCAGGCAGACCGATGACGAGAAGCGAATACAGACAGAGAGAAGGAGATGTAGATGAGAACGTAGACGGAGGTGGCGAGATGTTGTCAAGGGAGCGACGATGCTGACGACGACGACGACGACGACGACGACGACGACGACGACGACGACGACGACGACGATGACGACGTCGACGGTGGTGGTGGTGATGGTGGTGGTGATCGTGGCGGACCAGATGTTTGGCTAATGATGTCAGCGGAATCGTAACTAAAACCGAGGCGGCCCCGGACTTAGCACCGGCTTAGCCTCAGCTTTGAAGGAAAGAGTCTTATTACTGGGGCCTGCACGTGCTGCTCGTGAGCGCGAAACCGTAGGGTAATTGGACCACCCACTCGACGCACCAAGAGTGCCACTCTCCGCTCCCTCGCTGCTTCTCTTCCTTCTTTTTTTGTCCTCCGTCGCCGAGGACGCGAAAACGGCGGCGACCTTTCGACGAGCAGATAAACTGGAAGTCGCGCGATGACTTTCAGTCCCGGCAGTCGTCGAGGCGCGTTCGCTCTCTCGTCCGTAATGTTACACGAGAAGAGATGCTAACGCACGTCCACAAGCTTATCGAGAACATTTCTTTACCACGACTCGTAAAGTTATTGCGATTGCTGGATAAATGTATGATGGGAGATTGAAAATGATAGCTGTCTCATATATGTCAATTAAAGATTACAAATGTAAATTGTTACGAGACTCGCTTATCGGAGAAGTTCTTATTAAATGTTAAAAACTGTGACATGTATTTAAATGAAGGAATATATTGAACATTGGATTAGCTCTGAAAAAGCGCTTATCTTAGTGAATATTAGATCGGTTTTAAAACTACTTTTATTCAATATTATTAAATGATAAGATATAACTTATAAATTTTTTTTTATCTCTATAATATATATTATATTTATGAAGATATACAAGTTCTTTAAATCTTCTGTATTACTTCTTTGAAAAATAGGGTCTTAATATTTTCACAAAGAATATTTTTAGATATAATGTTTTTTTATGGCACATTACTAATTCAAATATTTTTAAATATTTTATGTATTAAGTTAATATCGACAATTTTCTTCAAATTGGCTTATTATTGTGGAAATGGGACGCCTCGTTTGCTTCCTAGTTTTGAGACAGTGTGGATTAATTGGACCACCTACGGACAAGTACGGAGTTGCGACAAGCGGCTCCCTTTTCCAAATAAATATACGCGTGTTGTACCTCATCTCGGGTAGCTGGTGGGAAGGCCTTCCGAAAGACGTTGGTACCCCAAGCAGTCGAAGCAGCAGGAACGTGTCGAACCGTGCCGCATCTCGTCCGTGACACTCGACCCGGAAGACAAGACTGATTTATGCCTGCTGGCTCGCCGGACGGAAATTAGATGGGTTCGTGTCGAGGGATATCACTATGCTTGTTTGACATTTTTATGTGGTGCCGCCGATATTTTCTTTCGTTCAAGTAGTAGCGCGCGTGGGAAGACGTTAATTAACGACATCATCTAATCACCAATTACCAAGTTCGGTTTTAAGTATGACTAACACTTTTGGCGTTTTGAAAAATATTTAGGAAATTTGATTTTTTGAAAAATTTATTAAAAAATATATTTATCAAGAATGTGTCATAAGACCGCGAATAAAAGAATGTGAATACACAATAACGAAAAAGCTTTATCATTTTGAATTGGATTTTAACGCTTAAATAATAAATTTCAGTACAAATGTATATACAATATATATATATATATATTTAATTCTACAACTGCTAAATCAATAATATCATAAATTAAATAGCCAAGTATAATTTAATGATATTAATGTTAATAAGCACCAATATTAAATATCCTAAAAATGGTAAATAATTTGATGCTAATAAACATCTTAAAAAATTACAAACAATTTATTACGAAAAATATATTTGTCTTTTTATTAAAATTGGTGATTAATTTCTTAAACTTTGACATTTAAACTTCGAAGTTTTGAAAAGCTATGGTATGAAAATCTTCGATACTTCAAGTTTCGAAGGATCAAAGTCAATACATTTTTATAAAAAATGATAAATTATATAAAAAAATGGTAGGACTATGTAAAAAAATATTACAGAAATTTATATATAAATTGATATAAATTTGAATTTTCTAGTTTAAAATTTAAACTAATTGATAATTAATTATCATTATTAATTAATATTATTAATTATATTAATGCAGATATACATGTATTATAATAAGAGAATACATGCAAAACGTTATAATACTAAGATAAAATACTAAAAGATTACGGTCTTTTATAAAATGAATTATCTTATTGTTATTCTTTGAAATATATATCTGGTCACATGCACTTTGCGATGTAAACTGATGCGCTTCGCGCTTAAACACGCGGAAAATTTTGTCGGTTCAACACATCTTTTTTTGTTTGAAAACTTTGCAATCGTCGGAACGCAGGTATTATCCCTTGGGAATCAGGCAATGAAATCTGTCCTCAAAGATTTCGCCGAAAAGGGAGGATACTAAGCGAAGGCCATCGTTTAAACGGTCAATGTTGGAAGACCTCGGAAATGGGGCCACCTGTGCATTCGTCCCATCCGTCGTGGGTGGGCCTGTAGGTAATGCGAAACGCCAAACTAGGGTGTAGATCTGACTTAGGGTAGATTTCCGTAGGGGTGGCGCACACGAGCGAGAGAGGAAATGCAGTCCAACCACTTAAGAGGCTACTACAAACGTGACGATGTGTAGACCAACACGTAGACAAACTTTCTCAGATTTCTTCCTGTCGACCACCGTGTTAGTCGACGGTTTTTTAAGTGCCGAGTGTGAACAAAGCGTTCTTTGCCTTCGCAGTGAGAGGTAGTTTTGCTTGTTAACATACCAGAAAATATTAGAATGAAAATATAAAGATCCATTATAAAGAAAATGGTTAAAATGAAAGGAAATCATTTTCTACAACTATTTACTGAAAACGAGCATTATTTACGCATTTTTAAAGGCATCTCTAAAGGAGGTCAAAGCTATCATTTTGTAGGAAAATTAATGAACAGTTCATCGTTCGGTTTCTTCTTAACAATGAATTCTTTTGTGTACAATTTAATAAATATATAATAAATATTAATAAATGCATATTTTAACAAAATAAATTTAAGCAATTTATTTTGGTAAAATATGCATACAGAATATGGAATGAAAAATAGAGTTTCATTTAAAAGTGACTTTGCTCTGGTCTTGATAAGATCACCCAAGATCAAACTAATGGTATCATCTTATGTCTCCCTCGGAGTTACATAACTTTCGTCTGAAATTTTTTTCAATTTTACGTCTCGATTTTCGAGAGATACATTAATTAAAATGAAACATTCAGCATATCAGAAATATGTATTAAGTTTAATGTTTAATATATATATATATTATTAACTCTAACACTATTATATCTACTCTTATACGTAACACTTTTACGTTATCTTTTGTTGCTACCTTTGGCTACAGGCTTTACTTTTTTTTTATATTAACAAAATGAAGTTTTATATGAAATCGACGTTTTGTTAAATAACACAGTGTACTGTAATACTTCTATACTCAATACATATTTACACAAAATTGCAAAATTTTTATTTTTAGTAAATTTGTTACGTTCCATAATTCTTCTCATGCCATTCTCGAAACAATGTCTTTCAATAAATGAAGAATTGTCCATTTTGTTGTGCTACAAGGATATCGAAGGGTTAACTATCGTATGACATTTGAATAATATCACGGGCGCTTATTTCATCCCGATCAAAAGTAATATCTGATCTTTCAGTTTGAGTGATGAATCAGCTAGCAGCTCTATACTATTTGCCAGAAAAATCTCGAAACCAGTGCATTCCCGGTTCACTCTCGTAACGCCCGCGAGGATTCCGACGCGTATCAGCGACGTTCCCCTATCTCTTCTCCGATCCCTCTGATTCCCCAGCTTCCTTCTCCCCCTCCACCCCTGTATAGGTTGGTCGCTTCGCCGCCTTCTTCTAATTTTACGAGCCGTTGACTCTCGATCGATGGAACGAACCGTTTCGAAACAGCCGGCCGTTTTCCGCCACGCGCCGTTGGCTGTCCGGTGACGTAATTTTCCCGAAGCGAAGCCGAGCTGTCGCACGCCGGGTAATAAGATCGGGGAGTTTGCGAGAGATCGCCGATGCTAATGCGAGTCCGGGGGCGACCGGATCTCTCCGATCACCAATCTCCTGTCCGCCATGTACTAACCGACGGCCATTTTTCCGCCTGTTACAGATCACAAAGCTCAAGATCGACAGTAATCCGTTCGCCAAGGGCTTTCGGGATTCTTCTCGTCTCACGGACTTCGAAAGGTAAGCTCCTTGCTAACTGATGTTAAACGACGCCGAATTCGATAAAATCGTCTATGATAAAAGAATTTCGAACTACATAAATCAATGTTGAGACTTCGTTCCAATTGTGTATTGATGTAGGAAAAGATTTATCACTTTCCTTTTTCTTTAATAATATAGTAAAAGTTATTTGTTTGCATGTAAAATCATAAGTATAGCTACCAGTTTTAAAGAAGATCATTAATCATAATAGCGTCAAAGCTAGCCTATGACAGAGATAAATTAAACGAAAATTTGAAAACG